ATTATTTAGGATAATCAAGAATTTAAAAAGGTGTGTATCTAAGCGCTCTTTACAACAAAGTCAATTTTAATGGGCTTGCAGTACCATGAAATGCAGTGTATTAAAAAAGGTACCTTTACTGTTAGTCTGAACGCATGAAATACCTGAATGTTAAGTATGCACATGACCACCTCTTCAGTCTGAAAAGTGTTGCGGATGCAGAACCGAAATTTGAAATACCAGGGAATAAACCTTTGAGAGGTAACGGAGTTAGGAGACAGGTCACAATATGAAAGGGAAGTACCTGTCTGAGGTTCATGAAGACTCAGATTTGACAGTGATATTGGAGTTTAAAGAAAAGAAGGTTTAAAAGAGAACAAAGAACAACTTATTAAAATTAATGTAATACCCTGAATACAGCTATTAGCTATTTATTTTCAGCCATGTCACTGGCACACCAGCACAGAGGTTAGCCATCAACGAAGGAAACCTGTCAAATGCTATTTCTCATATTTTCGCTACCATTTCATGTTCTCATTATATGATTTTAATATTTTTACACTGGTTAGCAAGAATATAAGTTATGTGTGGTTGACGTGAATTCAGAGATAGCACAATGAATCCATGACCACGTCTTGCTCATTGGAATTGCTCTACCCTATGTAATGATTATTCATCATTACACATGACAGTGTGACTGTCTCCTCAGCATGTTTTTATCTAGACCAGTGGTCTCCAAAGTGAGGTGCCAGCACCCCAGGAGGTATGCAAAATGATCCACTGCAGTGCAGGAAGAAAATTTTAGAACGTCAGTAGTACATTTATATAATCTATAAATACACATGTATTGGGCGTGCATACTCAAAATTTTATTTACCTATAGGGGCGCATGATCAGAAAAATTTGGAGACTGCTAATCAAGACAGTTCATACAATCATAAATAGGAACTTCTTGGCTTTTCCCTAACAAGGCATTATTTCAATTCACTTAGGGATATACAGTTTTTAATGTGATGCAGTTCTAGAAGCTGAACTTTATGTGTTTGTTTATAACCAGTTAAGTAGCTTCTTGTAATTAGAATGTAGTGTTTCTATATACTTCATACTAAGTAAAAACTTGTAGTAATTGAGATCTATTAAATGAAACTACATGTTGCTTATTACTCAGCAAGACAGATTTCATTTGATACTGTGATGTTACAGTACTGAAACTAACATACCTCATAAGATAAAGTCACCCCACTGGCAGAACAAAATGCATTACGCTTTGCTTGTCTGTTCATCCATGTTCTAATTTTATGATGCATATGTCAGTATACGGAGACAGGTTCCACTCTCCTGTACACTTAGGAACCAGTCATGCCTGTTTATTTAATGAACATACAGTTATAATTAACATATCCTTCTACGTGGAACTGGTGTTGCACATACCCACACGAAACAGTTACAGAGAACAGTTAGGATCAAGTTTTATAAAAAAATGAGAAAAAGCAAGATGAAGAAAAACTACTTACTTTTCAACTATGTTATCTTGTTGTCTGACAAAAAACTGATACAGCTCAAATGGAGAAGTCTTATCCCTGTTTAGCCAAACTGCATTGCCAGCAGTCTTTCCCAGTTTATCTCCAGTAGTACTGGTAATAAGAGGTACAGTAATTCCAAACACATCTGTTCCTGTCATCCTGAGAAAGAGAAGAGTCACTGCATGTTAAAAAAAAAAAAAAAAATTAAATCCCCCACATCTTGGCAAAGGTAACTAAAATATAAGCATTCTGTAAGATTCTATCCTTGATATAAAGCAGTTAAGCAAGACAGGGGGCTGAGGGGCAAAAGATGCCAGAACACTGTTTCATGAAGGCTGCTTTAGGAAAAAAAACCAAAAAACTTGAACTTAAAAATTTAACTTACTTTGTGTGTAACAAAGAAGTTTACATACTTCAAGTACATAGTTTTGTGAGCAACAGCACTAGCAACTTCATATGTCCTGTACCTTTCGTCTTCTGCTCTGAGCACTAACTGAAGCTGCTTGCGTGGCCGGAACACTGGTGAGGCTTTTCTTTTGTGCCAATTCTCTTGCAACAGTCAAGCACGTACTGAAGTAGAAGCATTGCCCCATACTCACCAATTTGCTTGCATACTTCCGCAAATTTTCTAGACTCCCACCAAATATGGTGGATAAGCAAAAGCTCATCATCATCATCATCAGGTTTCATTTTACATCCAAGAGAAGAAACGCAACCATCTTTACCAAAATACCACAACTGCCTCTACTTCAGCGTGATTACACTAAAATGCGTTTGCCAGCAGAAGACTGGTCTCGATTTTGTCCCATGTTTCAGGATATCTGATTTTGGTTCTTGGACTCACTAATACAAGAACCCATCCTTTTTGTTAAAAATTCATTAGCATTTTATAGAAAAGGCTTAAAACCACGGCCAAAACGTATGTATGTGCCAGGCTCATGGTCAGGACAATGAATTCTTCTCCTCAAATCTCACAGTTTTACAGATTCACAGATTGGTAGGGGTTGGAAGGAACCTCTGGAAACCATCTAGTCCAACCCCCCTGCTAAAGCAGGATCACCTAGAGCACGTTGCACAAGATCGCATCCAGGTGAGTTCTGAATATCTCCAGAGAAGGAGACTCCACAATCTTTCTGGGCAACCTGTTCCAGTGCTTGGTCACCCTCAGAGTGAGTAAGTTTTTCCTCATATGCAGATGGAACTTCGTGTGTTCCAGTTTGTGCCCACTGACCCTTGTCCTGTCACTGGGCACCACTGAAAAAAGTCTGGCCTCTTCCTCTTAGATATCCACCCTTTAGATATTTATAAGCATTAGTAAGATCCCCTCTCAGTCTTCTCTTCTCCACGCTAAACGGACCCAGCTCTCTCAGCCTTTCCTCATACGAGAGATGCTCCAGTCCCCTAATCATCTTTGTAGCCCTCCGCTGGACTCTCTCCAGAAGTTCGGTCTGTCTTGAACTGGGCAGCCCAGAACTGGACACAATACTCCAGATGTGGCCTCACCAGGGCAGAGTAGAGGAGGAGGATAACCTCTCTCGACCTGCTGGCCACGCTCTTCTTAATGCACCCAGGATTTCAATGGCCCTCTTGGCCACAAGGGCACACTGCTGACTCATGGAGAGCTTGTTGTCCACCAGGACTCCCCTGTCCTTCTGTGCAGTGCTGCTTCCCAGCAGGTCAACCCCTCACCTGTACTGGTGTCTGGGATTGTTCTTCCCTAGGTGCAGGATCCTACACTTGCCCTTGTTGAATTTCATATGGTTCCTCCTTGCCCAGCTCTCTAGTCTGTCCAGGTCTCACTGAATGGCAGTGCAGCCTTCTGGTGTGTTGGCCACTCCTCCCAGTTTAGTATCATCAGCAACCTTGCTAAGGGTGCGCTCTGTCCCCTCGTCCAGGTCATTGATGAGTATGTTGAGTAAGACTGGACCAAGCACTGACCCTTGGGGTACACCACTAGTACAGGCCTCCCACTAGACTCTGCACAGCTTATGACAACCCTCATGCCAATGACAGTGGCCTCATGCCAACTCTCTGAGGGGTGACTTCTGCTCCTGGTGCTTTAGTGATTGTGAACACAAAGTTGCACAGAGTTGGGACACCTGACGCCCTGATCCTGCGCACTGCCACCACCTCCGGGACAGACCCCCTGGGTCAGAGCCGAGACCCACGCCTGGCCCGCGCCGCGCTCCCCCGCCTCCCCCCAGCCCCGGCGTACTTGGTGACGAGCTCGTAGCCGGACATGATGTTGCCCATCTGGTCGGCGCCCCCCAGCTGGATGCGGCAGCCGTGGTGCTGGTGGAGGTGGAGGAAGTCGTAGGCCTGCAGCGCCGGGTAGAGGAACTCGGCCAGGCTC